TTTTTTTTTTTGAGTTGGAGTCTCACTCTGTCGCCCAGGCTGGAGTACAGTGGCATGCTCGCGGCCACCCCAGCATCAACCTGCAGGGCTCAGGTGATCCTTCTGCCTCAGCCTTCCAAGTAGCCGGAACTACAGGTGTGTGCTACCATACCCAGCTAATTTTTTTGTTTGTTTGTTTAGTGTAGAGATGAGGTCTCGCCAAGCTGCCCAGGCTGTTCTTGAACCCATGGGCTCAGGCAATCCGCTCACCTCGGCCTCGCAAAGTGCTGGGATTACAGACTTGAGCCGCCATGCCCAACCTCTTCCGGACATCTTTTTTTTTTGGTTGGCAGAGTTAGCTGAAGTTTTATTTTGGAGGAAAAAACCCAAACACAATCGAATTAGTTCTTAGCTAGGGGTACGGGCAAGAGGGGGGTACCCCAACTTCCAGACATTTTTAAGTCTACATCTTGAGCAGCCACAGGCAGTGTGATCCTTTTCTAAGAACACCCATCTGTAATTCTCAACTTCTCAGAGTTCGCGTGGCTAGCTCTCAGACAAGGCCCATTCTGCAGCCTGGTGTTTCTCATTCTGCAGGGTGTTGCCGGGCTCTCTGCCCAGTCCGGAGGCTGTGGCCATGTGACTGTATCCTGTTTACCACATTTATCACTCTGGATGTGCACAAGGCTTTATGGGCTACTCTTACAGAAAACAAAATACTAATGATCTCTTGCCTCCAGGCCCAAGTCATCCCAGCAGCCGCGTCCAACTGGATAGAGAATTCGCTGCAGCAGTGCTGGAATTTGCCCAGTGGTCCGTTCAGCTGCACAAAGAACCGTGCAGGAACACATGACAGAGAAACAGGAGAGGGAGGCACTAACATTCACCAGGGTTCAGAGGCCATTCAACTCATGAGGCTGAGGCTGACCTAAGAGTAAGACTCACATCACACCTCCAATGGCAACGAGCCTTCAAATCAACTGTCCTGCTGTGCAACTCACCCGGTACGGGGTAAGGTAGACGGTGCCTTTCTTGGTCCCTTTGAAGGCCTCTGGCACGTTCTTCATGTCATTGAATGTAAGTTCCACATGATCATAGGACATCAGGATGCTGTGATGAGGAAAAGAGGAAGGGCCTTGATGAGACAGTGTTGAGACGTGACGTCACCCCAAACATTGGGCCTTCCTCCCAAGCAGCTTTCCGGCACATCACCTCTTATAACCATCTCAGCAGTGCTGCGTGGAAACCTTTACAGAGCCATGGAAGAGATGAGCAGGCTGGGGCTCTCCAGAATTTCCCAAACCCCACTTATACGGCTCCCAAGTGAGCAAAGCAATAGCAGAGCTACAGGGCCACGGAGACATCATCATCCCTCAAAGCAGGTTAGATTATCTGGGTTAACTATTCTCCTTTCTCGTAAGTCCTTGTGATAAGTGTTGTTTTATTGGTTTACTTTTCAAGCCCAATATATACAAACATGTCTAAAACATGACTCTACACATTACAAAGAGCTTCCCTCAGGATCCTTTTAAACCCGGGGGTCTGCAGGGGCACCTGTCAGTGAAGTGCTTGAGGTAATCATGTATATGTAATTTTCTGGGAGGAGAGTCCATAGCTTACGTCACTCTCAAAGGGGTTCAAGACTTGAAGAGTAAAGTTCACTATTTTTTTTTTTGAGTTGGAGTCTCACTCTGTCACTCAGACTGGAGGGCAGTGGCATGCTCCCGGCCACCGCAGCCTTGACCTGCTAGGCTCCTGAGATCCTTCTGCCTCAGCCTTCCAAGTAGCTGGAACTATATGCGTGCACCACCACACCCAGCTAATTTTTTATTTATTGTAGAGACAAGGTCTCGCCAAGTTGCTGGGGTGGGTCTCGAACCCGCGGGCTCAGACAATCCTCTCGCCTCGGCCTCCCAAAGTGCTGGGATTACAGGTGAGCCACCGAGCCCGGCCAAAGTTCACTATTTAAATATCAAATTTGGAATACTGGTCTTAAACTTTAACTATTATAGATACAACTTACTCAGACATGAGGCTGAAGTACTTCCTAAAACAAGGGACACCCTAGTTTAGTAGCACCGAGCCTTAAGCCAAGTAGGAAGCCCAGCAGGATAGATACATTCTTGTCCCAGAAAAGTCCCACTGAGAGAAAGAGAAATAGTCCCCAGAAGAATTTACCAAATGGCATCAAAAGCTTCCCAGGCCAGGGAACTGACTCACATAGAGATGCGACAAACCAGTAAGCAAAGTGAAACTTCTCTGATTACATAAAAAGGTCCAAGCTCACACGCTTCCTTTGTCTTCTTCCTCCCAAGTATCACCACTTTCTTAACTGGGAGAGGGGGTGGTTAGTGGGAAAGAACTCATATAAGAAAGGAGAAGTTGGCTGGTCACGGTGGCTCATGCAACCAGCGCTTTGGGAGGCTGTAGTGAGAGGACTGCCTGAGCCCAGGGGTTCAAGACCAGCCTGGGCAACTTGGCGAGATCTCGTCTCTACAATATATCAAAAAATTAGCCAGGCGTGGTAGCGTACGCCTGTAATTCCAGCTACTTGGAAGGCTGAGGTGGAAGGATCGCCGGAGCCCAGCAGGTCGAGGCGCAGTGGCAGTGGCCGGGCGACAGAGTGAGACTCCAACTCAAAAAAAAAAAACAAGAAAAAGAAAAAGAAGAGAGAAGTATAGCTCAGAGAAAAGAAGGAAGGACCAGGAGCAGGTAGGGCCCATAAAACATGAGCATGTAGGATGGAGAGAAAGTCAGTATTCTGAGGTCTGGGTTGCCTTAGGCGTTCTCTGACTCATCAAGCATTCCCAAGTGACACGTCCTAGGCTGGGTGCTGGCCTTGGCTGGATGCTGGCCTTAGCTAGGTACAAGGCTTTGACTCCAGTGTGTCTCCCTTGCAGATTCAAGTGCCCCCTAAGCTCCTTCTGCCTTCTAGAGGCTATTTAGGGTCAGCATAGTTCAACCCAGGGCTGGCTACTCTCATTTTCAATATCCCAGAAGTGAAAAGAGAGAGGAGCTATCCAAGAAACCCAGGGGTTGGAGGAGAGAGAGAATGGAATGAGCACGGGGTGAAGAAGGTAGAGTAGAAAGACCTTGAAGTTAGAAGACCTCTGCCCTGGAGAGCCACCCAAGCCAACAGACATTCAAGAGAGAGGCAAGGGGCTGGTCTTTACCCATACCATCAGGAACTGTGATAGGCATTCGACAAACATCATTTGTTTAATTTCACTTTTGGGGCCTCAGTTTCTCACCTGGAACCTAAGTGGTTCTGGAACATGCTGGAAGGCTGTACACTGTTGGTTAATTCTATAAATTTTGGACTCTTTCCTGGAATCACCATCTTTGTTACTTATAAAGCTATGATCTTGGGAAAGTTACTTACTGTCACTATGCCTCGCTTTCCCTACCTGTGAAATGTGTATAAAATAGTTTCTGCTGCACAAAATTTATGTATTAAGTAAGGCAGCCGGGCGTGATGTCTCGCGCCTGTAATCCCAGCACTTTGGGAGGCAGAGGTGAGAGGACTGCCTGAGCACATGGGTTCCAGACCAGCCTGCCCAACATGGCGAGACCTCGTCTCTACAATAAATCAAAAATTTAGCTGGGAGTGGTGGCCCAAGCCTATAGTTGTAGCTACTTGGAAGGCTGAGACAGAAGGATCACCTGGAGCCCAGCAGGTGGAGGGAGCGGTGGCCGTGAGCTGCCACTGCACTCCAACCTGGGTGGCAAAGTGGGACTTCAACTCAAAAAAATAAAATTACATACATACATCAGGTAGAAAAGACGCAGTGCCAGACAAGCAATCAACGTTCAATAATGACAATTATTTTTGTTTAAAGCTCTTCCCAGCTCTTCAAATCACAGCTCTGGGAAGGGGATCAAGAACCACTCCTAGGCCGCACCTGCCTCCAAAAACCCCATCCCCACCCAGCCACCCCACCCCGACTCCCATCCCCCAGCTGATCGCAACACTCCTCCCCCTCCCCCACGCCCACCCACCTTCCTCCAGCTCCGCCCCAGGCCGTTACGCCCCCAGTCGTTACCCCCCCACACACTCCACCAGTTTCCCCTCTCAGGGGGCTTATTATCCAGCGCCCACAGCCCACCGCCCACACCCAAGACACCCGGACTTCGGCCCTTCAGGATCCTTCCGCAGTGTTTTCACCTCTCGGTGTTGTTGACGATCACTCCGCCACCCTCCGAGTGATTCTTGTTGAGCGCCATAGTCTCTCCGAGAGGGGTCCCGAGACTCGCAACGCAGTGCGCTTGCGCCCCTCTTCGGCCCGCCCCTAGTGGCGTCGTTCTTATTAGAGTCAGCCAATCACAGCTCCTGCGCGGAGGCAGGCCCAACCACCTGATCGCGAACGTCACGTGGTAATCGTTTGCTCCCTCTCTCTCCTCCCCAGTTCCGCCTGCGTCACAAACAAGTTGAAGACTACAATTCCCAGCAGGCAATGCTCCCGCAACCTCGACCTGTCCCTATACTGGAGGAAGTATGCATTCTGGAACTTGTAGTTTCCTCCATCACAGGCCTGGATCGATTCCACTATTTGCATAACCCCACCCCGCCTCCACAGAGGGACCGGAATAAACAGTTTGGTTCCATCTGGGGCATAATGCTGAAGGCCCCTGACACGTATTAAGGAAGCCTACACCGACAGAATGTAACCTAAACGTGGTATGTGGAGCGCTCCACAATCGCTTAATGGGGCACCTTCATTCAATCACTCAACAGACGTTTATGGAGCGCTTACTGTGTGAATCTGCCCCCAAACAGGTGGTCACTGGGGTCTTATTAGGTGAACCTTATTAGATGATGGGCTGGGGGAGTTAGGATAAACTGCCAGCCCTTTTAGCCAAATTCGACCCACACCTCGAGGAGGGTTGTGGGGAGGGGCGGGCCCAGAGGGACCTGATCCTCGGACCATATTCACTGTCCGGATGGTGGAGGGGAGGGCACCCAGCTCAGTGCCTCTACCACAGCTGGCCTTGCGGTGGCGCTGCTTCCTCCAGAATATTCTGGCTTCGCGGTCCGCCCCGCCTGGCAGGGTCCGCACTGGAAGATTTGAACAAGTCTCGGAAAAACTGAATGAGATTAGGCACAGTGCGAGACCAGCAGCCGGGTAATGTGGTTTAAAAGATAGGGCTGACTCATTTCAGCTCGTGACCCAGCACTGGGCATCCCTCATGGAGCAGCCGTAGTTGTCTAAACGCCCCGCCCCTCCCCCGCCTCCCAGGTGACTCTTGGGGTGGGGGGTTTGGGGGCCTCACTCCCCACGTGGTAGCTTGGGATGCCTCGGTAATCTTAATGGATCAGAGTTTCGTGGGGTTTTTTGTTGTTGTTGTTTTGAGTTGGAGTCTCACTCTGTCGCCCAGACTGGAGTGCAGGGGCCGCTCCCGGCCACCGCAGCCTCGACCTGCTGGGCTCCGGCGAGCCTTCCGCCTCAGCCTG